GCAAATTTAAAATTTTAACTAACCTTCTTGTTCAGTCCTTGCAACGGTTCCAAAAGCTACTACTTCTTCGGTATAACTTTCTTCGCTATCACTTTCTTCGGCATAATTTTTTTTGTTATCATCACCATCACCGTCTTTTTGGGGAAGATCATTAGGTACAGGGGGCTGTGCTGCGGATGAACCGAAGCTTCCCACTAATGAAGTAGAATACTTCAAAAATCCGACCAACTACAAATGAATTAAGGCTGATTAATTACTATTTATAACAAAAGGAAAATAATTTGCGTAAATAATTTATGTGTCTATTAATGAATGTACCTTGTTATTAGAACTTGAACTATCCTCTGCAACTTTGGCTCTTTTCGGTGATTCTTGGTCTGGGGGGTTTGCCGTTTCCACTTTAAAATTGTTGTAGAACCTTTTTAAGTTTCTTCTATTGTAGTTATGTTTTTCCATATTGACTTTAAAAAAAAAAGAAAGTTGTCGGCTCCTTAAATTAATAAAATCAGGTATTAATTGTTTTTATTTTTTACGTTACACCTGATCTAACCAACCAAAATTTAGGATTTGCTAACACGCAGACATGTGTACTATTGCTCAAAATTGTGAGACACGTGATAAATTTTGGGATGATCATCAGGTGAAACCGCGCAGAAGTAGTCACATTATTGATGCAAATTCTATCTAAAATAGTAACTAACTCTAATTAAGCATAGATCTGCATCAAGAAAGCAAATTACAATAAAAATGTATTTTTTTGGTAATTATGGTAAGAAATGTGATCATATTATCATATGATATCATGTGATTGGCTAGATCAATTTTGATAAGTAAATTCTATACAAAGCTATTGTAGTTTGATAATTTCCATAATGCTTGTACTTATATCACGTATGATATTATATCAAATTAGAGATAGTAGATGAATCTGGATTTATATTTATATCCGGATTAATCCGAATTTTAAATAATTCAGAATTCAAATTTTTGAAACAAATATATCCTGTATTATACTTAAAAAATTTTTTTTGTTAGTGTCAGATTATAACATTATTATGTTATATAGTTTGTAGTATAGTTTGGTAGTTTTAACTCCAACAATAGTGAATAACCCTTAGATAGAGATTGTAACCCAATAAGTGATTTAAACCCTCAGAGAGTAATTAAAATCCTGGTACAAATTAAAGATATATAAAGGTGTGGTTTTAATTTAAAGAGAAGGTTTGTGGTTTATAATATTAATATTATTGTTAAAAATCTAATATATTGATTTATGTTAATAAAGAGAAATCTTATAATCTATAATTATGTATATTGATTTATCAATTTAAAATTATTTGATTAAAATAAAATCAGATTAAAATAAAATAAGCAATAGTGTAAAATAGACAAGCCATCAAAAATACAAATTTTATAGATGCATTTTTTAGTATTTTTTTAAGGTTAGAATTGGAATTTAGAAGCAGATTTTATAATAAATATATATAATTGAGTTTTAGAGAATTAAATAGAAACTCTTATTTCATTTTAATCTGATTTTATTATAATCTGTAATAATGATTAATTGGTAATTTATTAGTCATAATCATTCTATATCTAAAAGTTTTTTTTTGTACTAAATTAACTACTTTTGAGTCTCTACGTAAAGTCATAGATCTTATTAAAAAGAATCTAATAGTAGTATAACATATACATTTATTATAACCTTAGAATGACAGTGATCATGTAATACTGATGCACTATGATGATCATATGATCACAATGATCACGATACCCTAGCAAACCCTTCTTTCAATAGCTAATTTAACTTCTTACTTTATTTTTATTAGTAGTTATATATTTATTTTATCTAAAACTATTTAGTTATTATATGTATTTATTTATAAGTTATCAAAGCTACAG